GATACCCTCACTCTCCCTACCCTTTCAGTTATCTCCCCACAAATTTGCTCCTCCCGTCTCCGATACCCTCCTCCCAGGTTCTGACTCTCTGCTGCTGAACTCTGTTACAAAAGCATGTACATGCTTCAATATGATACCTGCGAATGACATTACAGGTACATTCTATGTGATGACATAATGTCTGGACTGGTCAGCATGCATATCCCTGGATTAGCACAAATGCACATTCCCCACAGCTGTTGGTGTTATCAAACACTGCCTCATTGAAATTGCTCAAAATGGTGATTGCTGTTTTGTGTACCTCCATCATTTATATAACATTTGCACATTTGACTAACAATTTAGCTAATTAAATGCCATGGCTTACTTGTTGATATTTGTTGCAAGCACGCTTTTAACTGGCCTGCTCTTAGGTCCAGCATTGGGTCTGAAAACTAAATGACTACCAGGTTTTTGGGTTTCTTTCACATCCTTCATTAAGGTACTGAAATGAGCTGGATAAACATCGAATGCACCTGCCTTCATGCCGCCAAGCTAAAACAAACATAAAAGGGAAAAAACAATGGAATTGTGAATTGAAGTTTTGCATATGCTGTTGAAATTGTTAACAGAGGTTAGTAAATGTTGTATAAAACCCATGGGCTGAATCTTATATTCTTTTGGTTAGGTTTTGCTGTGCAGCTCGGACAGATTCTCACAGCGAAGCCTGGCAAGATCTCTCGCTATATCTCACCAAACTCATCTGATTAACTACCTACCCCACCTCTATGTTACCCCTGTTGTCTCATCTAGCCCCATGTTACCATTTGCTGTTTCTGAACAATTCACCACTCACTGGATATCCATCAAAAGGCCAGCATCCCTGGCACCCTGCCACATTTAAAAAGTTGCTGTGGCCCACCCTTGGAGCAACTTAACCAGACAAGCCCAGCTGAAGCATGCCCAAACTCCTGACAGATGCCTGTATATAACCCTGTATATATATGTCAGCCCAAATCCCAGGCTGGCTGCTATGGAGCCACAGGACTGATGGCTATCCACTTCCTGGTCTACAGAGGCATGGAGCCCCTGACCCTGACCAATCATCTGGACTGCTATCGGAGGCTGTCCTTGACTTACTGTGATGAAAAAGAATCACAGGTTATAGTCAAACAGGTTTATTCGAAAACACAAGCTTTTGCAGCCTGAAGAAGGAGCGAGGCTTCGAAAGCTTGTGTTTCAAAATAAACCCGTTGGACTATAAACTGTGATTTCTGTCCTTAATGAAGTGGCTAACAAGCAAAAATCCCTCTTTATGGGCAACTCTCCACCACCAAGGTAGAATCTAGCCTTCATGCTCTCAAATTAAATAAAGGTTACAGCAAGTTACTCCCAACATCAAGGTAAGCCTTGCTGGATTTCTTCTATTATTTTGCCACCATTCTCACAGATGGGGAGGTGATGGCCTAGTGCTATTATTGCTGGATTGTTAACCCAGATAACGTCCTGGGGACCAGGCTTCAAACCCCACCACAGCAGATTGTGGAATTTTGAATTCAATAAATATCTAGAATTAAGGTCATGCATCAATTGTCAGGAAAAACCCATCTGGTTCACTAATGCCCTTTAGGGAAGGAAACTGCCATCCTTATCTGGTTTGGCCTACATGTGACTCCAGCCCTGCAGCAATGTGGTTGACTCTCAACTGCCCTCTAGGTAATTAGGGACAGGTAATGAATGGTGCCTTGCCAGTGTCACCCATTATCCCAATAAATGAATAAAGAACCCCACATAATTCAGGTCCCTAAGAGATTCTGCTCCATCAAATAATTGAACATTGAAATAAAGTCAAGCTGTTCTCACTGAGCACCATAGCAAGGAAATGAAATCAATTGCCTTCTGTGAATGTTTTTGGATGAACCCTTCAGAAATCTTAATCCAGTAAACTTTATGTATTGGGCACTTTGTATGTAAAACAAACACACATTAAAAACAGAACCTTACTATGTAGTTATCAATTCATACAGAAATTAGAACCAGGTAAATAGATAAATAAATACCATTTTTCTTCTTCAGATGAGTACATAGATCAGCATTGTATCAAAAGATTGCGTAGGTATGAATTTCCTGTTATAATTTCTGTTAATTCTTGTACGTCAACCTTTTCCTTCATAAATTAATGAAGGGGAGTTTCAACTTTGTCGGGAGCATAATCGATGGCTGCCCATTTCAGATCCACAAGGTGGGAAATTCAAAATTTTCTGTTCAATTCATTTTTATGCTAATTGTCATGACACAGTTGCATAAGTTGGCCACTAGTCGGCGATGGAAAGTTGTTTCTATAGTCACATTGTTTCAGAGATAGTAGGAACTGCAGATGCTGGAGAGTCTGAGGTAACAAGGTGTAGAGCTGGATGAACTCAGCAGGCCAAGCAGCATCAGAGGAGCAGGAAGGCTGACGTTTTGGGCCTA